CCGTAAGAAGTAACTTTAAGTTCTCCGCTGGCACAGTCTTAATTGGCTGATCATTCTATGCTTTTTTATTGGCCCTTTAAGCTTTAGATAATATTCACCCTTAGTCAAGCTACTAATTTTTCTAAAGTTTTGAGTTCAATATGGATTGAATATTGAGAGAAAATTTATTAATTTTAATTTTTCAATAGTGTTTTTAAATTGCTTTTCAAATAATTCTGTATTATCGAGTCTATGGCTCTCAACATATTTGTCAATTTTGAATACCAATTATACTTTGCATTAATTAAATAGTTAGAAGAATGTTTTTTTTAAATTTGTATACAAAGTTTTGGTAATCGGTTATCTTTCATTAGGTATACTTTTCGGTACCAGTGAATCATTCTGTTAAAAATGCTTATTTCTAATGATTCTAAAACCGTTTCTACACGCGCATAATGCCTTCTAGATTGGTTTATCTACCTAACGCTGAGTAAAAATATATGTCTCATGTTTATACTGCTGCCTAAACGACTGGAAGAAAATAAATTATTAATGGAAATGTTGATAAAAGGTTTGGAGTAAAATTGTGATACTTTGGAAGAGATTAAAATCTCGACAGTTGAATTTCTTGCAGTTATTGAAAGTGAAAGGTGACAAAGCATATTTATATATCACTATTGTAATCAAATGCTTAAAATTATTTACTTTTAGTGATATATTCTGAAATATATCATCAACCTCTTCCCTGACTTTAAATCTTACTTTGTTTCCTCCCAGCTTATAGAAAAAAAAAACCGATGAGCACATCACACAACTTTCGCCCAAACACTTACTTTGAGTAAACATTTTTTTCTGGCAAAATAGGATTATTATATGAAGTTTTGAAGAGCATTTTGGTGCTAAACCTTAAAAAACACATTTGAAAATTTCATCCATATTTATCAATAAAAAATATTAAGACCATCAAAATAACCCAAGCCGTATTTACTTTGTCAACAATGGACAATGAAAACCTCTTACTCCATCTATCTATTTGAACCAATAAACTCATTTCTTGAGTTTGATAAACAATTATTTGGTCAGTATAATATTTGATGATAAGTAAGGATTGTGACAGATGGTCAAAATTATAGGAATTGTATAACTCTAAACAACTCTTATTTATTATTTCCCTTGTAAAACTTACCAAATGGAGTTACAAAGTTTTTGTTGCCTACTATCGATAGCTCAAAAGTAGTCACACTAAGCGCATAATGTTGTGATTTCACAGAGCAAAAATTCATCAAATTATTCACTAATTTAATTATCTGAAATGTTATTTAATGATTTTTTGGAATAAACTTTAGATGTATATCTAATTATTTAAAATAGTGTTCGCCAAGTGGTCAAAATTCGACCATAGCCATTAAAAATTTGAGGAAAGCATATAATCAAATAAAAAATATATGAAATAAATAAAGAGTAAATCACGATTCCTCATTTATTAATATAAACAAAATTTCAATTTCAATTAAAAATCGAGCTTTAACTACTTAAAATTATTTATAAGTAATAAAAAATAGAATCATTCAAAAATATTTAATTTCCATTTTAATTTATATGTGTCATTGTCAAAATAAATTAATGTTATGATTAAGCAATTAACAAATAAATTTAAATTAGCAATTTCAATTCACTTTAAATCCATGTTTATTCAGAACTTCTCTGTAAACAATGTCCTTTTTAAATGTTTTGTTATTATTTAGTGCATAGCCTTGCCCATTTCCATTGAAATTATAAATTTCAATATTTTAAATGAACGTGTTCTACTTGCTGCCACATGCAATTGTCCATGTGAAATAACTGGACGTTGCAATAATACACAAATTTTTCCAAAACTTTGAACCTGCGATTTGATTATGGTCATATCAAATGCAGCTAATAATAAAAACGTTGTTCTTTGAAAGTCAAATGTAAGTATTGTCAGAAAATATTAAATTAATTCTTAAAATTAAAATTCTCTAATTTAAAGTAGACCCTGTCAGTACTTCAATCTCATTCATGTTCTATTAACTAATGCTTGTGCAGTAATTAAGTTAAAAATGAGTATCAGTATAGAGTTTACTTTTAAATTTAATTTATGAGTTAACATTCCAATAAAATTCAATATCATCTCTTCAAATAATAGTCCCGATTACTTCATTAAATGTAAAATTTTCAATTTATCAAAAACCAAAATAATGGAAATCGACATTGCAAAAGAATACATACTAAATGTTTAAAATGATATATCTCTGAAACAAAAAGTCCGATTTCAATGGATTTTTTAAAAAATCATTTTGTAGGAAATCAAGAAAGCTTTCATATAAATATTAGTATCATCAATTAAAAAATGTGTACTTTTTGAGTTATTCGCAGATAAAATACTGAATTCACCATAAAAATGTACACAGCTTGTTTTCAGGAAAGTATGTTATATACATAAATTATAAATGTTTCAAGGGGAAGACTTTAGCCAAGTTTCATTGAAATCGTTGAAGCCATATTGGTGCTACAGTCTAAAGCGAATCATGTTTTTCGGCCACCATTTCAAAAGGAAAGGCCTGATGATAATGAAACGTATACAAAAACACTTCTAAATATTATTACGAAGTTGAGTCAAAATTTAAAAGAAATCGGTGAAGAACTTGTGAAAATTAGCCGTTTTGAACAAACTACCATTTATATTTTTATTTTTTGATAACACTAAAGCTCGTCAATAACTATTAAACAAAAAAAGAAGGAAGAAAATCGGTTGAATAATAGAGGAGTAAAAGGGGCTGAACCGTTTTGTGTTTGCCTATCTATTTAATGATATTTTATCGGATTTAAAGTTAATAAACTAATTTTTCTTTGAAATTTTATTTCTCAAAAAGGTCTATAATCTTAGAATTACCTTCCTATATTCATATTTAGGTTTCTTGTTGTATGGGAGTTTTAAATGTTATGTCATGTTATTGACGATTCATTGTATGTTTAAATAATTTGAAAACACCTGAAGATATTTTATATTAATTCTCCAACTTATATTTCTTTAAGTTTTTTTTTTAAGATCTTTTAACAATAACTTTTTTACACATTTAATTTAAATGCATTTTTTTTTTTTTCCTTTTTAATGTTTCAACATTTCAAATATGAGCAAAAGTGGAATCAATGATTATAAATGAAAATAAAATTTAATGACCACGCTAATTTTATACTTGATACAATAGCACTATAAATATAGCAAAAATGTGGAAAGATAATTACCGGATTGTGATTATGATCACATAATTAAAATCATTATAACCCTAATATTGAAGGAAGCTAGTCGACTGTTCTACAAATCACCTATAATCATAATAGTTGATTATGCCCATTTATGCCTGGCTTATATATATATTATTGATGGATTCTATTGTTGTAAGACAACATGAGAGATTTTATTTATAATTTTTATTTCCTTTATGTAAAAATATTTTTTGTCTTCTTCACTATTTCAATTTGATAAATCAATGTAAAAATCTAATGATCTATTCTTATCAGAAAATTACAAATACTTTATCTGTTATATAATTGTATCACCAGGCTCATTTATCAAGGATAAGGAATATTGAATAAATTCAAGGCAGAAATGTGGATAATATAACAATATAGAGCTTTATTGATAAAACAATACAAAATCAAATACAATTTACAATATGTTTTAAAGAACAAAAATTTACACCTTCCTACAGAATTGAGCTTCACATATTTTACTTATTTTTTTTTTCATTTATTTATTTGTTTGTTTGTAACACAATGGTAAACATAATTCAATAATCCAAAAATAATGTCTGAGCTATCAAAATATATATATTTATATCATCATGTAACCAACACTACAATATCTATCACAAAATATCTATGCCACAAAAAAAAAAAAAAAAAGAAAAACATCAGCGATAATAAACATGCACACTTATTTCTCACTTTTTTTTTTAAACCTTATTTAATTCATATTATATAAATAAAACTAAACACTTGATAAATCAACAAAATTAATATTAATCCCAAGACAGAAATAATTTTACAGAATTTCAGACTTAAGATATATTCTTTATATATGTCATGAGACAAAACGTCGATATATATAATAAACAAAAAAAGGGAGGGGAAAAAACAAACAGAATATGTACAATAATTAATAATCCCTATTCTAAATAAATTTCTAGTAATATTATACGATGACTGTTTGACTACTTCATCCATACATATAGGCTATATAATTCGATATATAGCTGTGTATATATATATATAAATATATACATTATTACTTAATTAATAGGAAAATATTATTGATGCCTTAACCAGAATTTGACACTGTTCCAATATTGAAATATCAATTTTTTAACATCACTCCATAATTTTTCAACACAGCAATTAATTGTATGTTAACAAATTACAAATACATGTTTTAAAAGATATAATAAAACTCAAGAATATTAAACTGTCAACTCTGACCAGGCTAAAAACGCAACTACACAGAAACACATCTTCTTCATTATTGCAAAGAAAAAGTTAATAAAATATACCGAAAATACCTTTAAAATCCAAATCTTATTTACAGCCTCACTTTTAATACAAACTGAAAAAAAAAAAAAAAATTCAAGTCTTTAAATAAAAAATATAGGAATGCCATTGACTTCAAAACTTACAGAAAAAAAATTTGTTATTTAATGGAAGCCCAAATAACTTTTTTTTTTTTGTCTTTTTTAAATTATTTTTTAGTTTTTTAAATCACTTTTTTCTATCGGTAATAGATAAAGCAAAATTTTAGCAGGAAATAACGTAGTGACCCGCTAGACAAAATTAATGTAACAACTTCAAAAGATCAGGTTAATTTCGATAAATTAACTAATATGACCACATAAAGAAATTGAACATAATATAAAAGAAAAACCAAAATGGTAGGTAGACAATATTAAGGTTTTGGCACCCTGATCTGAGTTGAGCCGATGAAATATATAAAATGCGCATGTTTATTACTCTGTATCCCTTTCACTCTTGGTCGCTTCTTCATCAGTTCTACCGCCGTCTTCACTGGTAGTACCGCAACAGCTTCCCTGTTCGGCGACAACGCCAAATCCGTTCACAACAAGCTGTTCATTAATTAATACCACCTGAAAACAAGTTTTTCTTCAATGGAATGAAAATAAAATTAAAACTGTAATATTGGCACACAACTTAGGAGGGGACCCTTAAGTGTGCATCCAATTGAAAAAAAAAAAGAAGTGGAAATCCTGAGCATATAGGCATATTTTATCATAACAAGCTCTGTTTGAATTTGCTAGTCTATAAATTCAAGACTTAAACTAAGATCAAATCTTTAAGTTCACATTATTTTGTAAATTCTCAATAGGTAGTAGGTTGAAATTAACATTTTGAGATGATCTGAATTGAACAGTAACCTCATATATACTGTTGCAAAAGAAATAATCTGGTGCGAAGAGTGCATCACACAACTTTCACTCCAAACTTTTTTTTAGCATAAACTGATATTTTCAAAAGAAAGGAAAAATTATAGACAGTACAAAATATTATTTAAAACAATTAATTACTAAAAGTTTTTCACAGCCATCTAATGTATTATATCTATGCTTTTTTATCACTGGCCATTTCCTTTTACGAATTTAAATTTTAATTATTTGTTTGATTATCATAAATAAATAAGTGCCATGAAATATATTTAGTCCGACAAGAGTGGCACTGAAAAAGAAGGTCGTTATATATTTCATTCTAGGAATTTTTATTTGATTAAGCATTGGTTTATATACAAATTTTAATTTTTATTATGCTGTAATCTATACAATTAAATATTAGATAATACCAATGCATTAATGAAAACCATACATATATATATTATTATTGGAACTCGTATTTTATTAAGCATATTATTATTAAGCATTCAAGCTCTGTTAAAGAACATAAATGAAATAAGATTTACATTACGTAAAAAAACTGCTTAATTTTACACTGATATAATGAATTTAATCAGAATTGTTATAACAATTTCAATAAAATTGTAAAAATATGTAAAATCCATTATATAAAGTGGCACACACTTCCAGTTTCGTGCAACTTTTGGTTTTTGAGCTAGCTGTTCACATACATACACACACACGATTTTGTAAGGGCTACTCACAAAATTATTTGGACGCGAGGGACTTCAAAAACATGTATATCCGTTGAAAACTCAGATTAGAAAGTTTTCACTATTGCAATACTTTCCCTTATTATGTATAATTAAGTAAAAATAAAAATTTGTTTTTTCATCATGTAAAAGCTATCAGCCATATTATAAATATTTACAAAATACATAGTTTTTTTTTCTCTTAAATTAAATCTAAATTACCTTAATCATCAACTTGAACAAAAATTTACCAATATTTATTTTTTATTAAGACGTTTTCATAATTAATCAAAGTAGTTACCTGATTGCCGAAACTTGAATAAAGGTAGACTAGCGGTGCCCCATCCTCGGCATAATCGTAGACCTGAGCATGAAGAATTTGGCCACAAGTGAGGCCGTGGACAAACAACCTAGCCTCGTTGCTCCATTCCTCGCCTGTAAAAATTTGGATAATATTAAAAACTTATTATTTAAAACATAATATCGACACAACCGTTAATAAAATTTGTGTTCAAGACGACTAAAAATTCATGAGGTTTATTTATAAATTAAACTACAGTAATGGCTCCTCATACTCATTCAAACGATGGAACTAAATCAGTCAAATCATTCACGATCATAACTATAGCCATAATGTGTTGTACACTATAATATTTTGAACTGTAGATTAGATAATAATAATTTTAAAAAACCAATAGATCCAATATTAATAGAGAAAAAACGAATGAACACTTTTTGTCGGCTATTTTGATTGATGAATTTTCAAATCTACTTCTACTTGGCCTATATAAAACCTCGTTATTTTGACAAATTGGGGGAGCAGGTCTGTACCATAGACTATTAGAACAAGAAATAAAATATCTTTGGTTGTATTTAAATGGTTTAAAACCTTGATTTAATTAGAAAGGAACAAATATATGATATGTCTTTAACTTTTATAAAAAAGAAAGGTACTTTGTGTCTAGAGGTCTGTTTTGAAACCTCACTTCTTGTCTATCTTATCTAACGTCACGTCACATAACCTCCCTCTTCTAATTGCGCCAAACTTTTGAGTTATTGCATTGTTTAGTTTTCAATTATTCATTTATTTTGTTCACTTATTAAATTGTTTACTTTTGGCCCGTTTGTGTTTCTTTTTCATTTATATAATTTTACATAATGGATATTCTTAGAATATGGGATTTACCGTCTCGAGAAGAACAGGCAATTCAGTATTTTCAAAATGTTGGGGTACTTGTGCAATTGTGTGAACGAGGTCATCGAATGAAGTTAAACAAGAAGGTCAAATGGAGATGCTTTCGTAAGATTTGTGACACAAAACTTTCCATAAGGAAAGGAACATGGTTGGAGGGCTCGAGGATTTCGTTTTTAACAGCTTTAAAATTGATTTATGGGTGGTCCCATAGCTTGACAACGATGAAGTGGGGCAAAGAGCAGTTGAAACTATTCTACGGAGCTATGGTAACGTGGGACAAATGTCTAAGAGAGGTTTGAGCCCATGACAGGCCAAGAAAAAAAATTGGAGGACCTGGCAAAGTGGTTGAAGTAGACGAAAGTCTTTTTTCTCAGCAGTGGATGTTTGGTGGAGTTTGCCGGGAAAACAGATGAATGTTTTATCGTCAAAATAATTGACAGAAAGGCAACAACCTTATTACAAGCCATTAAAGAAAATATAAGGGAACGACCATTTATTCGGACTGTTGGAAAGGATACAACACCTGACAACTAAACAAAGCAAACTATGATCATTTCCAAGTGAATCACCGGTATAATTTTGTCGATCCATCAACTGGGGTTCATACTCAAAACATAGAACGATTATGGGGCTCAGCGAAGTGGAGAAATAAAGTACATAGAGGAACTGCCAGACAACACCTCGATTCATATTTGTGCGAATTTTTGTGGCGGCGGGCTCACAGAGAAGAGGACCCGTTCCTCGCTATTTTAAATAGCATGAAACAATTTTGCCTTCCAAAATAAATAAGACAAAAGGAAGTGAATAATTAACTGAAAATAATTTGTACATATGTTGTTTATATTGTTGATATTTTTTCTTTTCTATGTAAATAAGTTCTTTTAAATGTGTTTTTTTATTATTTCATTTTGATGTTTTATATGTGCATATCTTCTTAAAGTGTTTTTTTTATTATTTCATTAATATATGTGTCGTCAAATAAAAGTTTTTTTTTTTTGCTATTACATTTGTTTTTGTATCTGTTAACACTTTCAATAATATGAAGATATGAAGTAGGAGAAGGCTTATCACTGCGTTATGGGAGTTATCAGTGTTCAGGTTATAAACATTGGCAGATAGCAGTCAGGAGCGGCCCCCTGGACAAAAAGTACCAAAAAAAAAAAAAAAAAAAGAAAATGGAGAGGAGATAAATTCCTCAACATATGATACGTGGACCAACAATAAATATTCTATTTAAATACTATACCTGCTGGTGCTACATTAGCTAAATAACATTCAACAGCTTGGAAGGGTAAGGCTAAGAGGTCTCCGCGGATCTGTCGCAAGTCGGTGGCAAGTATTCGGGAATACCCGCCATAGTCCAAGTATTTGACGGTGCAATGCAGGCCATCTTCTTCGACTTGGATAATCTGTGCTCTGTACCAACCTTCGATTGCAGGGGCGGCACATACTGCATCTGAAATATACAATAAGATATCATGTAATGCATTAAAATAAATAAATATGTAAAACAAAACTTATCAAAGAAAACTGAAAAGTAATTTCCAAAATTATATTTTATTTGAAGATTTTTTTAAATGTTTATTTAAAAATCAATGTAAACCAGAAATGTATTGATTGTTTGAAGATTTTGACACCTAAGATTCAATTATTTAATCCTAGGCAAAGTTTAGTCTCCAAATTTTCTCTACCTGTACTGCTTGAAGTAAAAGGCAATTGAAATGGTGCTGTTACCCTCAAAAATACAGGACACAATCCAAAATACAGATTATGTTAAGCATACCTTTTAATTATAGGCAATGCATTCTTTGAAATGTAAAAATAATATATACAATTATCATCCACTAAAATGTTTTTACAACTACCAGTTGTATAAATATGAAACAAGAATTAATATATAGATTTTGGTATATTATTGATAAATCTATAGTATACTATAATTTTTGAAAAAATTTATAGCATTTTTTTTATATGAAAAATTAACAATGTGGATGTGATCTACTATGAGCTGTTCAAATCAGGTGGAACCTTTAGTACAATATATTATTGACAACAAATGAGTGATTAGAATCAGAAGTACGACATGAAAAAAATAACAAGATATAAAAAAAAAAAATAACACAACTGATCTTGTTTTATGATAATGAACCATCACGCTTACTGTATTTGAGGCTTAGTAAGACTATTACTTATTTGCATTGATAAGACACTTGCGCAACATCACTTCACTTCTAATGAAAATCTACAAAAATGGTTTGATGACTAGTTTGCAACAAAAAATAGCTAGTACAGTACTTTAATAGTTATTCATAATAATTACTGAAGGAAGTTAGTCGACTGTTCGACATTCATAGTTGATAATCAGGAAACAGTCATTCAAAGATTTTTATTGTTGCCTACATTTCAACCCAAGCATGTGGGTCATCGTCAGGGCATGACTCCACTACTGAAGGTATTTAGGTTTCTTAAAATGACTGCTTCCTGATTACTTATCAACTATAATAATTACTCTTTCCTCACACAATAGAGTGTTTTCAATTTTGATATGTATTAAATTTGATCAATAAAGTGATGTTTTCTCACTCTTAAACAGAACGTTACGTTGAAAGGATTATTTATTTCAAAGGCTACAATGGATTCCCAATTACAGGAATTGGGAAAGAGAAAGTGGCCATTTGAGTTTAATATACCTGTGATAAGTTAATCGTTAAATCACAAAAACTTAACAACTCGTAGGCACAGGTTTTAATGATCACAATCAAAACTTTACTATAGAAAAAATATTACTATATTATTTGATCTAAGATATAAAAACTTCTCACTTCTTTAGATTCAATCTTCTACCTCAGAAGTGTGCATATGAGATACATTTATATATTTTTTGTACAAAGTAAATTACACCTCCAAGTTAATACATAGCTCAGAGACAACCATTCTTTGAGTTACTATACCTGTATACACCAAGTTAGTTGTGTTATAGTAACATAACATAACTCATAATTACAATTATCTATACAGGACTATTATTCAATAATATAATTAAATTATAAACAATTAAAATGGCAGATCTATTAATCATTAGTGATTAATAGATCAATTATTAATAATTATTAATAATTAAATCATCAATAATTAATAATTAAATCATAATTAAATCAAATAATTATTAATCATAAGTGATAAATGGATGTCAGAAAACATATAGTAGAATATTGATAATTTATTGTGTCAGGGGTCTGAAGATTAAATATGAATATCATATCTTCACCAGTTTTTGGATATATTATTTATGAGGAAGAGTTATAATGGTTGTAGGTTTTATGAATAAGAGCCCCTTTTTATCATTATATTTTATTACCAATGGAAGAGGTGACCTTCATTTATAAAACCTAGATGAATATCAAAACATTCGAATTATCAATATTTTGAATAATTGAAAGTAAAAAATAAAATGTTTCTAGGCTCCTACCAGTTTGTTTCCTCGAACTCGAGTTTTCCACTCACAAGAAACAACTAAATTTCCCCAATAAATTTTTTAAATTTCATGAAGTGTATTTTTTAGAAAATAATAAAACCAATTATCAATGTCTCGGAAGTCTTTTTTTTTTTTTTAATTAGTTGGCTTAAAGCAATGCGACCCTGAAGGATCTATTGTGCGCCAATGCAATGTCTGAAACATACTTTTTCTTTCTTGTTTTTGCTAATATTATAGAGGAGATAGAGCTGATATCTGGTTCAGTATAATCGGCTGATTATACTAAAAGAAACGACAGCATTTATCACTGCGCTAATTTAAGAAATAAATAATGAGTAGCAGTATCTCCGCATAGATGCCTTGGGTCTTAGTATAATTCTCATTATGCATAAAAGTTCAACATCGGGAGGTAGGTGATTTAATTACCTTTTTCTGTCTACGGAAGAGAAAAAGATTGAGCTCCAAAAGGCACTTATGAAGACTGAATCAATTCATATACAAATTTTTAACCCTTTAACACAACATGACCTTCAATAAAAACATAACATTGAATTATTTGTTTCAAAGGCTATGACAGATAACCAGATATAGGAACTGGAAATAAGCATGAAGCCATTTGATATTAATATACCTGCGGTAAGTTAGTTATTAAGTCATATACAAACTTAAAAACTCGTAGACACAGGACATGATGATAATGCAACAGAAACAGAACAGATAAAATTTGAGAAAGATTTTTCTAGAATTAATTATCCAAAACAAAAGTCTGTAGATAATAGACTTGACCATACATTCACATTCATAAGCAAGAAATATATGTAAGCTACACTGATTCAGTTCAATGGTTTTTATTATATGAAAAAATAACAGTATCATATAATCTCCTAACTGACCTTTTTAACAGAACTAATTTTTTATTCATATTTATATTGGTACTCCTTATACAATAGATCTAAAATATTACATCAATTAAGTCGCTAATGTGGTTATCATGTGAGGCCATAGTTAACTTCAACAATAAATTTAAAATGTAAAAATTATAACACATGAATCTTAACAAGGAAAAATAACGATTATTTCATTTGTACAAAGTAGATTTCACCTCTAAGTTAATAAATAACTAGGGTACACCATACTTTATGTTCCTATACCTGCATATCCTCAGTAGTTTCAGAAAAAACAGAACTAATACATTTTTCCCCCCACAATTATGAATACAGGCCAACTATAAAATAAATAAAAAATTATATACAACAATGATGGCTTATCTATTCGCCATTTCCGTAGAAAATGAGTTAATAGAAAAAACATATTTATGATCACTTACAGTTAACTGGGGATTCTAATGGTGGTGCTTCTCCTGAAGAATAAATCTGGGTCATTATTGTGTTTAATGCAGTTAATGAGGAATAAGATGGATGGCATGGTTGTTGGAGGAAAAAGTGAGCTGCACTGATTAAAGATGACAGGACAACATCGTTGTTCACACCTTCAACTAACTGTAACTATAAGACAAACATATTAATTAACAAAATATGTATATATTTCTTTAATACTGTTAATGCATAAGAGGTTAAACATTAATATCTTAAAATAAATGTATATACTCAAGATTTTCATGTAACAATCAGAATTAAAGTAATTTTTTTAATATTTAAATATTTCTTACTATTTATAATAGTATAAAAATTATGAATAAATATACAAATATTACACTATTAGCAAAAAAACTACACAATAATATTTATTAACCATATTTGATAAGTTCTACTGATGACATTAATTAATAAAATAAACAGTTTTAAATGAATAATGAATTTTATTATTAAAAATAAAAATTAACACTCAACTGCACTACAGGTAGACAACGGATAACAGGTATAATGTATTAGTGGAATATATCTAGTATGGAGAAGTTGAGTACACTGGGTTCTTACAACAGGAACACAACTGCTGCTGAACAGAGACGGAAACTGATATGGTATATAATTATTCGGAAAGAACGAATAATTTAAGAAAAGAAAAAAGAATAAGAAGAACTGCAAGTCTTCAAACGATAATGGAGGATAAAAAACATTCATTAAATACTCCGTCACTACTACATTCTGTATCAAAGAAGGGAGATACTGTTGCCCGACGACGAACATTATAATAAATTAAATCGATAAATTAAGTATAAAACAAAAATGACACTGACAAATATTTCACAAGTAAAAAAACCTGTAATATACACTATTAGTACAAAGCCTCATAGATTCAAACAAAAGAATTAACATTGAACTTTGTTTATATGAATATTTTTAAGGCATCAGCAAAAAATTTTACAATTGTAATTCAAATTAATTAAAGTATTTTGAAAGGAACAAGCATAAAAAATTTAATATTTTTTAAAAAATAAGGTAATTACAATATAAAACAAAATTGAGGAAGTGGCATCTACCTTATAAAATTTAGAAGGCAATGGTAAACCATAACATAACCTTCAACAATCATGAGATGAAGTTAAGATACAACAGATTTTAGTAGTTTTTTATGTTATTTTTCAAGTAAGTGGTAGAAATTTATATTAATAGAAATTTATCATAAGCAATAGTTCAACAGCGATTACTAGGCAGCCCGAGAGTGAACTCATACAGCACTAAGTTAAATTGAACATTTTGTTTTTTTCTTGACTCTGACATTACTTGTGAAGTATTTGCTAATGTATTGATAAATTAGAAAATATTTGAACATGTGTATAAAAAAAAAAAAGAGATTAAATATAGCCACACGAGTTCGACCTCAGGTTGCCAACTAATTGCGGTTCAACTATAGTGTTCTTAATAAAACTATATAAGGCTTTTAAAGAATGAAATAAATATTAAATATTTCAAAATTTTGCAAAATTTTTGAAAAGCACAACAAATAATTTTAATTATCATGAAATTATTAAAACTTATACTATTTTTCTGAATGTTAATTTGTCAAGTTGTTAAAAAAATCAAACATATTAATACAAATTATTGAAGGAAGTTAATCAACTGTTCTACATATTATGGGTGATAAATATTCAGGACGCAGTATTTAAAAAAAAAAAATTATTTTTTATTTATGCCAACGTTTCAACCCAAAAATGTGGTTAATCTTCTGGGTGTGGTTTGAGCACTGAGGGTGTTTAAGTACTCCAACACCCTCAGTGCTCGAACCACGCCCTGAAAAGATGACCCACATGTTTGGGTTGAAAAGTTGGCATAAATAAAAAATTAAAATTTTTTTAAAAAAAAGACTGCATCCTGAATATTTATCGCCCATATTAATATAAATCTTCACTTTTCACTGACAGTAACAAATAGGTATTCTGTAGTCATTTTAATGTAGAAATATAACTGTACACTTTAGATGGTAATTTAATATAATAATAAAGTGACTTTTATTTTAGTATAAAGGAATGTGAACATTACTCAAAATAAAAAATGAGAATTTATGAAAATGATATTATGCTCTTCAAGTTATACAAGTACAAATGTTATGATTACTCTCCCTTAACAATTGATAAATAAGGAACAATCTGATCGTTTGCTTTTAATTTACCTGCGTATCACAGCGTTTAAATTATGAACAATTTAAAAAATAGGGCAGATAAAGGATATACCAAAACAAATAGTTACTATGTAGTAGATACCAAAGAATGAGAAAACTTACTCTTCTGGGTAACATTACTTTAAAACAAAACTTCTTAGATGATGATATAAACAAAAGTGATAATAGTTTTGGAAGAATGTTGAACTCACAGTTTCACAACAGTAATAAAATTATAACGGGTAAACTATTAAGCATAACCAAATAAGTTCCTGATACAGTTAGCACTAATGAGTCAGCATTATAACTCAGCACTACTGTCTGAAAAATGGTTCTAGTAACGATTGCGCATGGCAACAACTAATTAATATTACCCATTTCAGTTTTTACATTGAATATTCTCATGTTTATTTTAAAAAAAAAATCTTGAAACATAAATATTTTTGTTTCTTTTTATTATATTGACGTAAGGTTTTAAATAATTTTTACTTTTTAATAAATAATAAATATACCAATTTTTTTTTTTTTCATCACATCAAACTCAACGGAATATGGACAACAGCAACGTAAAGCATATTTGTTGATTTTTTTAATTTTAACTGTTAAATAGTGAACTAAGCAAATAGTTGATTATTAACTATATCATGTATACAAGAGAGACATTTACTGATACTAAATAGATTGATTATTTGACTTTGGTTACCATTAATGGCAAATATCACATAAAATATATTAATCTAACCATTACCACTACACTATAACAATTAATATAGTAATTTATTATCTTTCCCTAGATCAATAGAACTCAAATTCAAGTAAATATATATAATGTAGTTGTTGAAACACCTATATATATATATATATATATATATATTATCAAAAACTATTGAAAACTTTGAAACAAAATTAAATTTTAAGGTGTTTCAACAACTCAGTGACATTAATTACATCTATTTTTAAAACTTAAAATGATGTCAATATCTAAGAAGTTATAACATGAAATTGAAAATACAATTCATGTAAAGTTTTCTTTATTTTAATATACCTGTGAAAATTAATGTCAATGGCTACAGAAAAAAAAATAATGCTTAATCTAGATTTCACAGGGTCCATCAGAGAACAACGTGATAGTTATTATTAATAAAAATTAATAGGATAAATTGATTCTTAAACAAATGTGGTACTTACGTGGAAATCTTCTGGTTTAAGAGGTGGAAGAGGATTCAACTGTACAAAAGAAACTTTTTCGAGAGTGAGTTGAGGGAATCGTCTAAGTGGAAATTTTTGCCTAATTTTCGCTAACGCCTTATCGATGTCCTGTTGAGTTCCTATAAAATAATAATAAAACAATAATTATTTTTTACCAATATAATCTTAATATTGATGATATCTATCTACAGTTATGTATACAGAGTGTCTTAATTCTTAATGGTCGAATTCTGAGAAATGATTCTAGCTAAGATTTCAAACAAAAAAGTTCATTTCATGCATAGGCCGATTCCGAATGGAAAAGGAGTTCAGACCAACTTTATGTCTTCCTTAAGGTGGTTGCATTTTTATTGAATAAGAAGAAATTACTCAAAACTAAAGATAATTAAATTCTAAGCACACTATCATGAAGTAGACAAAATTTTCCTTAAGAAAATTGATTTACTATTGTCAATGATAAAAGGGACTTTCAGGAGGTCTTATACAACCGCTGCACTGCTGTGTACGAATCGGGAATACAGAGATATGCTGCTTATGCATGGCCACTGAAACAGCAACAGTACACTTACCATTTAAGATCTGAAGTCCCTTTTATCATTGACCTAAGTAGTAAATTTAATCACTGTTTCCTTAAAGAATATTTTGTCTACTTAACGATGGTGTGCTTAGAATTTAATTATCTTGAATAGTTTTTGAGAAATTTCTTCTTATTCAATAAAAACATGATCACCTCAAGGAAGACATAAAACTGATCTCAACCCCTTTTCTGTTTTGAATCATCCCTCTAAGTTTTATCCATTAAGAACTGAGACACTCTGTATAAAAAAAACAAATAAACAATTATCTTTTATTTTATTTTAGAAGAATGTTAATCAAATTTAGGAATGAATAAATAGAATTTGATCTTCCTACCTTCAATAGCGCAGACTTTTAGTTTATTCGAATCTGGATGTCTTTTTATAAATATATTTGTATGTGTCTGTGTTTTTATTTCATTCAAGAATACGCCATGTCTTCCTATTAATCTTCCAACAATGACCTAATAACAAATGAAACAAAACATTAAACTATTACTTGCTGTGAACTTATTAAGGCATCAAATATCCAAAGATGCGATATTTCAAAAACTTACCTGAGGCAAAACGAATTCGTATACAGAAGGTGCTTGATCACCGGCGAGACTGGATCCACCAGCAGGTGTTCTTGACGGTGATATTGCTACATCGCTCTGCCCCTTGCCACTGTCGCTAGACCCCTTTGGGACATAAAAAAAATAAAATTAAACATTAACATATACATAATTTAAAATTAAGTTAATTTATATATATATATATATATATATATATATATATATATATATATATATATATATATATATATAAAAAACATTAGTAGATCTTTTATAATTTAATTGAATGATTTAGAAATATTCAAAACATATTTAGTAAACAGGAAAGTATAAAATTACGAAACTAAAAGTAATAATTTGGAAAAACAACAGCCAAAATTGCTTATATAATTCCAGAGAAATGGATAAAGCATCCAGTCCTTGATGGAGCTAAGATCAGGGGCTGGCATCAGGAGAAAGGATAAACCTAATGAGGAAATATTCATATACCCAAGGTAAATATACGTCCGTCTTTCAGACCAAAATTTTAGCTATTAAGTTCTGGTCTCAATCCCTAATAAAGGAGGACATTATGAATAGATTGATTTCAATATTTATTGATAGTCAAGCGGCAACTGTTGCCCTGGATAGTTATGCAACCCGTTTGAGGGTGGTAGATGAGTGTAAGAATAACTTGAACTTTCTCTATAGTACCAACAAGATGAGGGTTGAATGGGTGGCTGGGCACTCAGGTATTCCAGGCTACGAGAAAGCTGATTGGTTGCTAGGAAAGGCTCTGTACAAGTGCCTGTAGCACCATAGCCCATCTATGGGATTAGCCTCAGCTTTGCCAAAATGCATAAGGCAGTTGCTGGCAATGAAACTAAGCTCTATTGGAAACAGATAAGGAAACTTAAGGACTTAAGTTGTTTTTAGAACGACCCTGTCACAAGAAAAGTGTATCACTTCTTCTAATGGACAGGAGCACCATCAGGTGTGTGACGGGACTGTGTGCATGTCACTGTCGAATCAATAAGCAGCTCCTTAACTGGGGCTTAAATGAGACCCACAGCAGGCTGTGTGGTTCAGAGGATGAGACTAACTATCGCATCATATGTAGATGTCTTTGTTAGACTGCGGTACTTTCACTTTCTGTGATCATATCAAACCGTATCGCACTGTCTGTGATCGTATCACTGATCCCAAGAACTGTGAATTAATAGATTCCATTAATCTTAAGAAGCTTGCAAAGGCATCTGGCTTCTTTCAACACAGTTTTAGGACAACGCACAAATAGTCTTAAGTGTATACTCATGTCGGGGGAGAGGGGGGAAATGATAAAAGATGGCCTAATATAAGAATAATAGAAAATGATAAATTATTATTTTAAAAAACTAATAGCTTTATTTTAAGCTGAAAAAAACACATTTAAAGCTGAGAGCATTAAAAAAAAAGTTTAAAGTTATACTTAAAAATAAGATTAATTTTAATTTATTATTTCCCCTTCCTTCATAAAAATTGAAGTGAAAAGGGAGTCTCATATTGGAACTCTATAATTCAATTTAACAAAAAAAAATTATAAGTACTTAATATAATTTTATGAAATAAATAAAAACAGGGATCTATTTTTTTATTGATAAATCTATAATAAAAATGTGAGTATTTAATAGTTGACCGTTGCATTATAAAGGAAGGAGATGGTCCGGGGTGGCGGTCATAAATAGGCTAAATAGAAAACTATTTTATTAAAAGCCGACGTTTCGACTCAATTTTGCAGATCTTCTTCAGGAAGGTGTGTTCAGCTAGGAGTTCCACTTAGAACTGCGCAGTTATAAGTGAAACTCCTAGCTGAACACACCTTCCTGAAGAAGACCTGCAAAGTTGGGTCAAAACGTTGGCTTTTAATAAAATAGTTTTGCCATTATTTAGACTATTTATGAACGCCACCCCAGACCATCCCCTTCCTTTATAATAGAAATGTCATGTTAAGTTGACATCATTCTGATCAGACTGTTTGAAAATCGTTGCAACTAGCCGAATGTGTTATTAATTATATGGAGAATCTTGAAACCTTCCTAAATAAAAAACTGCCAACTGACTTATCTCAAATAATAAAGGTATATTTAACACTGAATATCCAAATAAAAACATTGTATTTATTACCCACAGATCAAGAAATATTGTACTTGTTAAGCTAAGAATTTAATAAAAGTAGTAGCATTGAACGAGAAAACAAATGAAAAGTTAAAACGATACCTGAACACCACCACAATGAACCAATGATCATGATTACATAAACATAATATGCAAAAGTCATTAAATTCCACGTATGTCTAATGCCTTATGTGAAATAAAGAAATTTACCAATGGAATTGAATTTCATGTAATAATTTTAACTAAAATGGTAAGGTATTATTTGATCACTGACCAATAGTTAATTTTATCAGTTTTCATTCATACCATATTTTAATATTTGGTGTGTAGGTGTACCTTACTACTTAACGATTTATAAATATCTGAAAAAAAAAAAAAATACATTTTTTCTCCTCACTTTGTAGTTTAAATAATTATATCGTGTTTATACTTTCAAGCCAATCTATTCAGTCTAATTTGTTTAGTTATTTGTGTATAAAACATAACTTGGCTTGTCGAATAGACACATTAGGCTAACTATAGTGTTCAGGTATTATTATGCGACACAGGTACAATATAATTAGGCGATCTTGATGCACTTGTCAACCCAATGTTACACTTTACAGCTTTACCATCCATTTTTTTTTTTTTTTTATTCATTTATTTATTTTTTAAGGATACAAGAAATTTAAACATATGAATGCTCCAGCTTTTAAAAATAAATAAATGTCATTGTTGGATAAACTTACCTCAGAATGCGCGTCACTGAAGTTACTGATAGACGGACTTGCTAACATGATTTCGGATGGGCTATGATTTGCAGAATCCCTCTCACTCCCAGATTTCCTTTCATCAATTTTCATCTGGTCAAGTTCTAGAGAAGCCAATTTATCAGCTAATTGACCAGGTTCTTTCATTTTGTCTAAATCCAAAGTATTAATTGCTTCTTTAATTTGTTCTGATTCTTTCTTCATTTTGATTTCTTCTGTAACACTTTCAATAATTCTATTTTCACCTTCTGACTCGATGGGAATAATAGAACAATTAACTTCCAAATCGTCTTTCACAGCTTCAACCAGTGGTTCAATCGAGTCCACGACTTCGGCTGATGTTTTAACTAAGTCGAGTTCGGCAGCAATTGCTTCAATTTCAATCTCTTCTAGTTCTTCAGAACTGCAATAGTTTTCTTCTTCGGGTTCAGAGATATATAATACTTCTGAACCACAATGATCCTCTTTAACTGCCTGATTAATCGGACAATCTAAGAGTTCGACAACTTTTGCACTATCAGGAGAAAATAGAGGATTTTCAATATCCTCTTTACACAGTTCACTAACACCACTACTAACTAATTCACCAACTACAATGTCACTAGTTAAAGTGTCTTCTGTATTGTCACAGATAGTTAAATTTTCACTTGATTTTTTTTCTTCAGTTTTATTCAAACAGTCAGAAAAACTGCTATCAGCGGGGAGGTGTCGCCCTTTCCGGCGGTTTCTCAACCACAGGATACTTAGAAAAGCCGCAACAGTTGGAAGGCTTATAGCAAGGAATCTCTGATAAACCAAGGACATTCTCCAGTGTTAAAGATATGTTTGCTCTGAAAACAATAAAATAAACAAAATATTAATTTACAAATAACTAAATGGCATAATTCCATAAAAATAAAATTTATCAATAGAAACTAAACTTAAAATACAATAAAGCTTGACATGACAGAAACCTATTTTTAGCAAGATTACAACTATATATCAATATGATTCAACAATTTAATCTGTGGATTAGGTATAAGTATTTAAATGATGAATATTTTAATCTGATGAAGGTCCAGTGGGCTAAAACCAGTCACTACATAAATTCTTAATCCAGTCAATACAGAAATTCTTTCAGGAAACAATATGATTTTATTGTCCAGATGGAAGAAAAAAAAATACTATTTCAAAACAACAGTGTTTAATAATAAACAATGAGTAATTAAAGACAATAAAAATAATTGAAATCATATTTGTGAAATTAATAAGAACAAAATTACTCTTTACTCTAGACAATTTTTTTTTGTGAAAACTAATAATAAAAAATATTTTGATATTTTTTTTAAAACTAAGTTTTTTTTTTAAAGAGTTGAGCAAGTTAGAAACTATATCTTAACATCAATAGAATAGATCAAAGTAATGCACAAATTACAATGTTAAAATTGATGAATAGCACTCGTTTTTGTTCTAGGCTTGTTTCTTGTTAGAAACTTGTTTTATCTCCAACAAATTTAAACAAAAACTTAATTTCTTTTAAATTGAAATGAAAATAAATTTTTAGTAGTACAAATATAATAAAACATGTGCATTTATTCACAAACATAAATGAAATATAAAACTGTTTCAATTGTAGTAAAATGTGCAACTTTATATTAAGTTTGTTTTTCATTTATTTTTTACATTTAATCAGTAAGAGATTAAGGTTTAAAAGAAAATGTCTGACAAAAGCCAGAGTGCTAAAAATTAAATAATTTTTTTCTTGTTAGATTTTTTATAAGTGAAATGAGTTTTTTGGGAGTATTTGTGGTATTTTAAATCTTACATCTATTACTAATTACATGTGAATATTAAATATGCAATTAAAATTGTATCTGGTATTTGGTTATGATTTAGCAGCGAGGTAACGATGAAAGAATGTTTAAAGCTTAAACTTGAACATTCTCAAGTCTAGTGATGCAGGACTCACGAAATGAATCTCGACCTCCCCATTCTGGTTAGAATAGAATTGCTTGTACTTAAAGGTGGAGGTAGAGGTAATTGAAAAAAAAAAAGAAGAAAGGTTATGATTTTTAACACAGTAACGATCGAATCACTCATAAAATGAAATTACATAAACATTAACTTTATTTTTGTCCTTAAATACACAAGAAATTTATATAAATACAAAGACATTCGAACTAAGTAATCATAGAAAATAATAATTCAATTTAATGACAATAAATATTAATGTCAGAATCTCGTAAGAATTAAATAACTAAGATTTTGACGATAAGACAATAGTTAAATGGTGGAAAAATAAACTTTATACAGTAAATAAGTTTCCAGGCCATGTTTAGAAAAATCCTAGGTTATATATTACTTTATATGCTATTTCACAATTTACTGTTTATGGATATAATTTATTTTATTACTCTTCTTAGAAGAAAAGTAAAAGGCACCTTTCTAAATTTGAATTACCTGTCCTTAATTAACTATAATTTAATTTTTTATCCTGTTAGCATTGCAGATGGATTGCTACGAGCTACATGCCCCACCCATCTTAACCTCCGTGCCTTCATATCATGGGATATTGATTGACCAGCTTCTGTAAGCAATTCTTTATTGGTCTTTCTTCTCCAGGTGTTAATACTCTGATCCCAGATCGCTGCTGTTATCGTGCGGAGGATTTTCCTCTCTAATCTTACGACACTTTTTTCTAGGTGCTGGTTAGTGTCCAGATCTCTCTGCCATATATTAGAACTGGCTTTATCATAGCATTGTGCACACTTTCAATACCTTTGAGTGGGAGAAGAAGTTTGTGATACTTATACGCTGGTCTATTTTTGCCCGTTGGTCATTCATTGGGGTTATTGTGGAGCTGAGGTATTTGAATTGGTATAATTTAAAATAATAGGTACAATATTTAATATTTATATACTGGGGAGCTTATAAAGAATTTATATATTGATGTGAAATGTAATTTTTAAGATATTTAACAGTCTAATTGACACTAAAAGCATCATCTGAGATACTTATTTTTAAACTATTTTGCCATGAAAACATTTAAGAAACCAACAATATAATAATGATTGGCATATAGTAGCAAGTTAATACATATAATTAAAATTTTAATTTGAGCATGCTTTCAGGAATCTCGGGAATAATTTTTTATTTTCACTTATCTATAAATGAAATAACAGGTAAGGGAAAGTATTGTGATCGTGAAAATTTTCAAATCTGAGTTTTCAACAGAATTACATGTTTTGAGGTCTCTTGAGTTCAAATAAACAAATCCCACAAAATGGTCTGTATGTATGTGTGTGTGAACAGTCTAGCTCAAAAACGAATAATAGGATGAAAGTGAAATTGCATATTTAAAGTATATATATATATATATCTGATATATTACTTTTTCGAAAATTAGTTAACCACTTTATACAATCGATTTTATATATTTTTACAATTTTCTCGAAACGGCTAAAACAATTTTCATTAAATCAGTGTAAAATTGAGCATTTTTTTAATATAATGTAGGTCATATTCTCATTGATGTTTTCTAACCAGGCTCAAATGCCTGATTTTCAACATTTCTTCTTCTAAAGTAACTTTTTTTATTTGAAATAATTAACCATTCCACAATTAACTTTTATATAAAAAGAATAGGGTAATTAACTAAAGGAGAAATAATAGATTGTATGATAATAATACAATGTAGAATAGTAGTAACAGAGGGAGCAAAGGAATACCAGCGTGCTTGAGCTCACCCGAAAGATTAGAACAGGCTTCCATACATGACATGAGCTTAATATAAGGACTCCAACAATATCATATACTTAAACACACCTATGAGGTTTTCATAAATGCTATTTGTATTATTTAATATTTAATTTTACTTAAACAAATAAAAATACACACAATGAAATATAAATAAATATAGCGGCATGCCTTACCAGTGGCACTCTTGTTGGACTAAAAATATTTCGTGGCACATAATTATTTATTATAATCAAATAAATAAAAGAAATATACCATTCTAAAAGGAAATAGTTACTGTTAAACAAAATAAATGTAATACATTAGACGGCTATGAAAAACTGATTAATTGATTGTTTTAAATGATATTGCATACTGTCTATAATTTTTACTTTCACTTCCTTTAATATGAAAAAACTTTCTGCTAAGAAGAGGGTGGTCATCTATGAGGCTAAAATTAAATTAGAAATAAAAAAATATATAATATGCACAAAGTAAACAAATAAAAAAGAATGAATAAGACAAAACAAGAAAATAGATGAAAAAAGTAAAGTATTTATTTTTTTTGTTACTTTCATCATTTTCCCCATCATATCTGTACCATTAATTTAAATTTAGTCCTGATGATGGCATTTATTTTGGCTGAAATGTCTGCTTGTTAAAAAAAACAAAAAAAACAATATATATTTATAATATTCCTCGTACATTAAATTATATATGATCTCTCAGTAATTTTATGCATACCTAGACATATATATGCGTAAAGCAAATTTATGATTTATTTAGCATTGAAAGATAAGTGACAGGTAACTCAGTGGAATACAGCTGTCACCCAAATATTCAACATTGCATATCTTATCAACAAATCATATCAAGCATATGATTAAATAGCGATCAGCCCTGAGCTTCGGGTCAAAACGTCGACAAATATTAAAATAAATATTATTATTTATTTTTGACTGATCACCCCAACTATCCTTATCTTCATATCTCATCATGTGTTTATATTGAGTATATATAATAGCTGCCTGTTGTAACCATATCTAGGATTGGATTTAGTCAATTTACAACTCACTTCTTTTCGTCAACTGCAACTTTACTATCCACGTATTTAATTATGTTTCATTTTATCCCCTTTAAATTTGTATCTTTACTTTCTTATAAATTTATTTATTAACAAAATAAATTAACAATATGAATAATTCATATAATTTCACAATATTAAATCATATTCACAATAATGTATAGTAACTTTATCATTCAAATTACCATAATTCTTCACATAAATTTCAAGACCTTCTTTATAAAATAAATGCAATAATTAATTATTTGAAAATTGACAGCTTTATTAAATGTTTTAAGCAAAGTTTAAATTTTATTACCATACAAAGTTATTTATATTGTTATTGGCTTTTACTAATGGCAAGCAATGCCAGATCTAGGAAGAGGGGAAGGGTTTGGGCTGAAGCCCCGTAAAATGGAAAAATAACACTATATTTAATTGGTCTAATTAGTTTTTGTATGTGATCAAAGTTAAATGCTTATAACAATAATAACTTATTCTCTTTTCAAATTTAAATGCATATACAGCCACTAAATGTAAATACGTATCAACAAAAATACATGAAATTTATTTCTAAAAGGGTTAATATTTCTTTAATCAATGTTTGTTTGCTTTTTTATGGGTTTGAAGATCCACTTAAATATCAATTGATATAGATAGTTTTCTTTCTTTCAGATTAATTACATTTGAGAAAAAAAAAGAAATATCAATTTTCAACTGCTTTAATTTATTATTCACATCTAACAAACAAATAATTTATCATAAATATAGAGGAAATAGTTTTTCATTTGGGACATGCGTATCTCATATACATAAATATTTAACAAAACATCGTGCAGGTCATTTGTTAACAATCCATCAAGAATTGTGAAAATAATTCTGAGGGTTATTGAAGGAAGTTAGTCGACTGTTCTACATATCATGGGTGATAAATATTCAGGACGCAGTCATTTTTAAAGTTGTTATTAGTGCCGACGTTTCAAACCGAAAATGTGGGTCATCATCAGGACTTGTTTCAAACACACAT